GAATAATACCTCCTGAGAACCTCCATCTTTGTTTTAGAACATTGGTTTTAGATTGGTTGTCCGAGGAGCTACATTTTAATTTTATTTATATTTTTTATTTTAAATAAAATATGAATTAATGTTTTTTCCTCTTAACTGTTAAAAATCAATGTTTGTTTCTATATTTATGAGGTTATATTCCTAAATAGGCATGGGAATTGAAAAAGGAAAAACCTGGGTGCTCATGAGAATAAAACTGGGGTGGCCACTGGGGGGGCAAATTCTCAGTGGGGGTCATTTCCCCACCCCCCACCTTGCTGGCGCCCCTGGACACTGGGCAACGCATTTCACTCCAGGGTTCCTTTATAGTCTTGAGATTTCATTGTACCCTGCACAGACAGAAGAGCAGTCCCAGAACAAAACAGTCTCCTCAATGTTTTCCTGTAGGTACAGATATTTTCTTTCTATGCTTCATTTTTGTCTCTGAGAACATGAAGTCATTGCCAAAAAGCTCAAATTTTTAAAGATAGTTTAAAAATCTGGGGCTTCTGTTTTGTGGGATTAGATTTGTGCTGAAAGAAAGAATACCATTAAAGCAAACAAAATCATTTCAGAAGTAGACATTTGATTTACAAACAACATGCATATACAGATGTCTAATGAAGTTATTTTGTGGCTTCTTTGGTTTTGACAATTTTCATGAACTCGAGAAAATTTTAATGGTTTAACACAATCAGTCACAGGAATAACCACCTCTCACTCTACACCAGGGGGTGTCAAACTCTTTCACTGAGGGTCACATGAGCATTATGGTGGTCCTCAAAGGGCCGGTTGTAATTAGCTTTGACATTTCATGTTTAACTTCAACCAAACATCCTGTTCCTTGTCTCAGTGAGGAGACACTGCTAACAATAACTGAGCTCTACCTGGTATTTCCTGCATAGAAACAGCGTTTTAACACGTCCTCTTACAAACATTGAAAAGTACTGACTAAATGTGAAATAAATAATACAGAAATACGAACAGAAGTAAGAACGTTTTACTCACTGATGAGTTGTGGCGAGACCTCCCACTTTCTGGCAGGGAACTCCCRTGCATAATCAACGTACGTTATGGGAGATGTAGTTCTCTCTGTATATGTGTAGGCTCTCTCACAGACCAAAAACATAACAATTAAGTTAGCTGGTAACCCTAAGTTGTCCCTAGGTGTGAGTGAGAGAGTGAATGGTTGTTTGTCTCTATGTGTGGCCCTGTGATGGACTTGCGACCTGTCCAGTGTGCACCCTGCCCCTCACACTGTGACTACTAGATATGGCACCAGTTACCCTTGTGACCGTGAAAGGAAGAAGCGGGTATATAGTTAACTTATGGATGGATGTTTAAGTAAAATTATACTTTTTCTAAAAGCTTATAACTGATGACACAGCATTTGGCAGCAGAGGGACTCAGAGTAGAGCTGCTGCTCCTCCACGTCGAGAGGAGCCAGTTGAGGTGGCTCATCTGGTTAGGATGCCTCCTGGACGCCTCCTTGATGAGGTGTTCTGGACACGTCCCACTGGGAGGAGGCCCAGAGGAAGACCCAGGACACGCTGGAGGGACTATGTTTCTCAGCTGGCCTGGGAACGCCTTGGGATTCCCCCAGAGGAGCTGGTCCAAGTGTCTAGGAAGAGGGAAGTCTGGGTCTCTCTGCTTAGGCTGCTGCCCCCATGACCTGACCCTGGATAAGTGGAAGAAAACGGACGGACTTCAAAGCAGTTTAAGACATTACCGTGCTATCCAACTAAATTGCTCAGTTAAAGCCAACAGCTCAGGGGCAGGGCAAGTATTATCTTTCACCTTTTAAATTTGTTTAGTTTGTTGCATTTAGTCATAAATTTAAAGTTTACTATTGATTTAAAAACAATTTTCATATTAAGTAAAAAAAATTTGGGGGGTGAGTCATCCAGTCACATTTGACCCAGATACCTCAAGTTTGACACATGCTGTCACATGCTGACCATGCTGTCCTCTGGTGGGTTGTACCTTTGCCGGCCGGCGCACTGGGGGCTCTCGTCCGGGGCTGGGTGCTTGGGCATGTGCCGGCTCGGCCCGGTGGCTGCCCG